TCGGGCTCTCATTCAGCTCCATAATCCTGTTTTTGTAGCATTCTCTTTTGCATCTTTAACCGCTTTTTCCCACCTTTAATTGGTTAATAAACCAGCCCCAGTACTCCTATTAACAGCAAAGGTAGCACTGCCATCATTTAAACATTTTAACCCTGCTTTAGTTAAGGCGTGATGTAGGAGCTTACATTTTGGGCTACTTTTGACTCCACCCCATGCTTGCATCTTTACGTTAAAATCTCCCAACAAGAGAATATTTTCCCTTGTCCCCAAAAAGTTTAAAAGTCTGCTGGTTTCATAATGGCTGAGTATCGTTGTTCCACAGAAATTCAATATACATATACTTGATTTCAGACGAAATACCTTAAATGCCTTATTAAGGAGCGCAATAGCCTTAGTGGTTGATTTTACGGAAGTCATTTGAGATTGACCCCTGGAAAAACTCAATCCTGGTATCTCCGAATGAAGCTTAATCGAATGCCAGTCCGAAAACACGGCAACTCGACAAACTCAGTGGTGCAGCAGGTCAACTTAATCGGATATTCGACGACACTTTCCCTCACTGGACCTTTTTCAGTAATAACTCGACTCCAGCGCCAGATGGCGCCTCCTTTTTGTAAAAGTGTTGCCCTTAACATTACTAATAGATAGTCCGAATGTGAGGAAAATCGCATCATAAATACGAATTTTTACTAATAACTCGACTCCTGAGCCACTTGGCTGGTACATTTTTTCACAGCAATATTTTCCTTTAGGCTACCCAATACATGTTTCGAATATTGGCCAAATCGGATCATACATAAAATTCTTAGTACTAACGTGACTCCAGCTCCACCTGGCGGGTTAAATTGTTAACTGAAACTATACAGAGATCCCCTCAAACACACACGACGCCCCATTTTCAAATAGTCCCACCTCTGGTCATGAGTATGCCATTGCTTTCATATATCTCCATACCATGTTCGGGGTTTTTTAGCCTATAACGATCCTTTCCAATTCTGCAGTAAGTGTGCGAGATTCTCCAAAAAAAAAGCCGGTACAGCCACTTTCGCGAACAGAAAAAACACGGCTTTCAAAATATATGTATATGTGCTAGCAATATCCGGCGCGCGTGTCTATGCCAAAGAAAAACACATGTATTTAGAGTTTTGAAATTGAATACCTTTTCATTTATCTTCATGCTAGGGGATAAACAATATTTTTTTAGTTTTTTCTTTTGGTGTGTAAATATATATAGATTTTGTGGTGTCCCAACTCAGGAAGAGGCGACGTAGTGGGGGAGCGCATGCATACAGCGGAGCACTCCACAAGGTGATGTTCTCTCTCCCCTACTCTGGATTGCGGTTGTAAACGATCTTCTAGAGATACTGGAAAAAGTGGGCTGTTGGGTGATTGCCTAGTTAAGAGGCGATTTCTAGACACCCTTTTTGATTTGGCTCAAGATTACCTGAACCAGGTAACTAGGTGGGCGATCAACGGCGGCTGACGTGGAAGTCTAAAAGTATAAACAGAATCAAATCGCTCCGAGAAATTCGTCGGAAGAAAGTTCCCTTCCAAAATTGCCCACAACCAAAGCGACGACGAAGTTCGTCTGACGAAATTCGGCAAGAATATATTTATTTAAATTTTGCCGCTGCCGCTGGTCATAAAATCAGCTCCCAGTGGACAAGTAGCTTTGTTCCCTAATTTTTTTAGCAGATAATTATCAGCAAGAGTCAGAGGCTGAATTTCTTTATTCATTCTGAACGTTTGGAATAAACTTTTTTGTTTAATTATTCTTTAGAACGTTCCTGATGATATGTTAACGTATATTTCAAAAGCATTCTGTTTATTCCGGCTGTGAAATGGGATTATCCGGAATGTATAAAGAAACGCAGCCAGAATGAATAAAATTTGGTGATTCATATTTTCGCTTTTTTATTTTTATATTTTTTGTTTGTCATTCAATTGATGCGAATTTCGTATCTGTCGTATCACCCAGCGGCATCGCTCCGACCCACGAAACTCGCACAGCGATTTGGTTCTGTTTATAATTTAACATTGGGGAAAGGGTAAGAAAGGTGTCGGTTGCCTTGTACTGCTGTAGGGGAGCTTTCGGTAAAAGGTGAGGTCTCTCGCTCAAATTAATTGATTAGCTCTAGGAAATTAAATCTTGTTTCAAAGAGCCCTTTTCTGGTGGAACTCGCTAGAGAAGGCCACACTTGTAAAACAGGAATTATCGGAACACGGCGCCTGCGGATGCTGCAGACAGAATTGTCGCAGCACGAACTGTTATTAAACTAATCGAGACCGGGTTCTTCTGTGTTTCTCTGCTGCAGCAAATGTTTTTATAGGGCACTTTAAAATGCTTTTTATAGCGCAAGACACGAGTGACCCATCGTTACCCCTTAAAGGTGTCGAGAAACACGTTACCTCTCAAGGGCTCTTGATGGGAGTTCTGACAGGCCATTGTGCGATTGGTATTCACGCGGTAAGACTTGGAACTTCAACTGAACCTTTTGTATCAACTGTCAAGAGGAAGATGAAGTGGAATAATCTCCACACTTTCTTTTGGACTGTCCAACCTTCGCGATGCTGAGATGGAAGCATTTTGGCTCGCACTTCTGAACAAACACTGAGCTCTCAGGAATCGAAATTTCGGAATCGGCTCGCGGCGGCAACCTAACCAACCCTACCTAACCTGTACTTCTTTGAGCTATGAAATAGTTGGTCACATTAGCCATACCAGAGTTTTTGCTGATGTCGCATGTAGGTGTTTTTGTATTAGATATTCATTATTTTTAAATTTTTGACCAGATGGAAACACTTATTGAAATATCTTTTTGATGTAAATTATCTTAAATAAATATCTTTCTCAAATACCTTCCATTTGATATCGTTGATATACTGTAATGATTTACCTGCATATTTAAAAAAAAATTTATTATTCTGACAGGTGGCAACTCTTTCAAAAATAGTCAAACTTCACAGGCATACTCTCCGAGTTTCTATGAAGCTATCCTGGAAATTTTAACAAAATCGGCTTAGTGGTTTCGGAGTCTATAAGCTGCATAGATACATACATACATACATACATCCTCTTTTATATATATAGAAGATTAGTATAGATGACTCGAATCCAGTGCTTCCTAACGGAAACATTTTTCGCAGAGATATTTTACTTCCTCGCACCAATGCATATATAAAATATGGTCGATCCCAGCGTCACCTATCGGGGGTTTCTCTCCATAACATTAGTGCTTTCAGCTTTTTAAAACCCCTTGTTTTTTTAATAAATAACTTAATTTGAACAACGTGACTATTTATCGCATGTACGTGACCTTCTCCCCTTCAAAATGAGATATCATTTATTAAATTTGATAAAATATTAAAGGAGATATCGTTTGGTAACAGAAAAATACCTTTTAAAAATAAGTATATATGTATATAGTTTATGGTCACAGCCATCATTCTGTTCGTCTTGAGCGTAGCATACAAATATACAAATATTTATAATTAGTAAAATTTTCGTCACTGCAAATTAAACTTATCTAACGCCCGCCCTAATTGATTTTCCAAATGGCTACATAGAAACATTGATTATCTCAAAGATACTTGAATATAACTTCCAAATAATTTAAAATTTCAGTAAAATGGAGCATTTCCCATATCAGCAAGACATCATTGGCTGTCCACTAAGCTTTGAAATGATAAGAACTATATTGATAACAGTAAATTAATGTGGTAAACAAATCGCAGAAAGTATAAAAACGATGGACAGAAAATTTGTGGTATAGTTGTATATCATCGATTGGTGCTATACGGCATTTTACGTATTCCCCAAGGTAAGGCACTTTAAATGTTTTTCTCCGTTCTACAACAAAAATATCCTGAAAAATTTATAACCTTAAATTTTTTCTTTTACTCTAATAGCAAAATGTTCAAGTTCTTCGTGTTCATCACTATTTGCGCCGCCTTGGCCTCGGCCAATCTGGTGCGCGTGCCCATCTACAAGAACCCCAAACACAGCAAGTCTCATCGGGCTGTGCAGACCGAATTGGCTTACTTGCGCTCCAAATACAATGTACCCAGCGCACGCAGCGCCACCGAGCAATTGGATAATGAGCTGAACATGTCCTACTATGGCAAGATCACCATCGGTACACCACCACAGGAATTCTTGGTGCTCTTCGATTCCGGTTCCTCAAACTTGTGGGTGCCTTCAGCTACCTGCCCCGCCAGCAACCAGGCTTGCCAATTGCACAGCAAATACAATTCAAACGATTCCAGCACCTATGTGGCCAATGGCGAAAGCTTCTCCATCGAATATGGCTCCGGTAGTTTGTCTGGTTTCTTGTCCCAGGACACAGTTCGTGTAGCTGGTCTCACCATTCAAAACCAAGTATTCGCTGAAGCTATGGAAGAGCCCGGTACCAGCTTTGTCTACTCGAACTTCGATGGTTTGATGGGTATGGCCTTCCAAGCTATTTCCAACGACGATGTAGTGCCACCTTTCTACAACATGTGGTCTCAAGGACTCATTGATAAGGATGTCTTCTCCTTCTACTTGGCTCGCGAAGGTACCTCCGACCAGGGTGGTGAAATGATTTTGGGTGGCTCTGATCCCAGCTACTACCAAGGTTCGCTCACCTACACACCCATCTCTCAGCAAGGCTACTGGCAATTCAGTTTGGATAGTGCCACCATTGACGGACAAACCATGTGCGGTAGCGGTTGCCAAGCCATCGCCGACACAGGCACCTCCCTCATCGTTGCCCCCTTCTACGCTTACTTCAGCTTCATGAATGTTGTGGATCCCGACTTCGATGGTGTGATCGATTGCTCACTCATCAACTCTCTGCCTGCTATGGAATTCGTTATTGGTGGCAACACCTTCTCCGTGCCAGCATCGCAGTACATTCTTGAGCAGGACGGTGAATGCTCATCTGCTGTCAGCTACATGGGTACCGATTTCTGGATCTTGGGTGATATCTTCATTGGTCTCTACTACACCGAATTCGATATGGGCAATAGCCGTATTGGTTTCGCACCAGTCGCTTAAGTTCATTTATTGGATGGAGATGATAATCTAGCTTTAAGAAATTAAGGCAGGAAATATTACTTTTTTAATAAATCTGAATGNGTGGAATTAAAGAATAGATTTTTGAATAAATTTTTATAAAATTACGAAAAAATTTAAAGTGGTTTAACTTTGGCCTTGAAATGTGAAAATTTCGTAAGTAGAATTTTTTATAACGTAAGAACGCATTACTTTGTGCCAATACTAAAAAGAGCTCACCGCATAAAGTTTTCCGTCTGGAAGAAACTGTTTAGGTTTAAAATAATTTAATTTGAAATGCAAAAAAGGCCGATGAACTCGTAGACTTAAACCGAAAGTCGCTGAAAGTTTACTTAGATATCTCAAAAAAAAATCCCACGAACTCAAAAAATTACGAAAATAGCCACGAAATATATCTTAACTCCTTTGAAGGCTATCCCAAAAAATCCAGAAAAAGGCAATTATAGAAGCATTTTTTGTGCCGAGGGAAAGGATATTGTGTGTTTTTTTTTGTTGGTTAAGTTTAATAGCTTAGAGTGATCGCCGATTTTCTGTCTTGGCTCTTCCCAGCTCTTTATTGGGATGACTGGGATTTAGTTTCGTCGCCAAAACCATATGCCCATCATTCCTGACGCCATTTAACAGCTCCTCAGCTTTTCTCTGTCGACGATTCTTCTGGTTTCGTAACAAATTGCGCTGCCACACAACCAAAACCAAAACGATAAAATTTCTTCTTCTAAAATAATAACCGTATGTATGCATGTATATATACACAGTGACTCAAACAAATGATCAAAATATTTGAAACGTTTATCCCAAAAATTTTTTTTTTTGTTATTTTTCTATAAAAATACCGCCCACGCTTTATACAAAATTTAAGAAAATTCAACAAATGTCCAGCAAAATTTCAACCTTTTAATCTGAATGTTTAGAACATTTTTGGGTATAGCCCACAAAATTTCAGTCCAACGAAGTGCAATTTTCAAACAGCTATAAAATCGCGTTGATTTTTGAGATTTTTATACCCGAGCGCACTTGTGCACAAGGGTATATTAATTTTGTTAACATAACGGTTGTTTGTAACAGCCAAAACGAATCGAGATAGATATAGACAAATGTATACATAAATGATCAGGATGAAAAAAGAAATCGATTAAGCCATGTCTGTCTGTCCGTCCGTC